GGTGGTGATCTGTAATTTTCTGGGTCTGCTGCTGGGTGTAGCTGGACTAAATCCTAAAGACAATCCCATCGAACGTTCCGGCACATCTAACTGTGGAGGAATATTTTTCATGGCGTGAGTATAAATTCCCCTTTGGATTTGTGCTTGTGTAACAGAAAACTGTTGTCAGTGTGCAGTGTGCATTGTTATATATGGTACAATAAAACTGTACGCACGGTAATTACTTCCTCTTGTGTCATTTTAGAGGAGTAGGTTTCAGCTTCCTGGTCTCCTGGATCTTCATGTTAGTAGTGTTGATACTTTTCATAGTGGGAGGAAATACCTATACCCTGGTCTGTAAACCATGGCAAAACAAGGAACTCATCCAGGTATTTCCAGCAAAAATGCCTCTTTGTGTTTGATCGTATGACCTTGACTAGTTACTAGTTTCCAGTAAATGTACATTTTTGCATCAATCTTTACCAGTATATTTGATTATCATATTGTGTTTCATAGCTTATTGACACTCCAGGGCTGATTCCAGGTTTCAACCTGTCCAGGGCTCTGAATCTGAATACAAACCTGAATATTGTTAATGTGTACAGGTACGTCACACACAAGACAGCATGATGGATGGCTGTCATATTTACATTATTTACATCCAATATAAATCAATAAATTCGCTTTTTATAATTTCTAGTGACTGTCAAAAGAATAAGCCCTTGTGGACCACATTTCATCTGAATGAGATCTTCGACCTAAATAGTAAATTAGATGTTTCACAGGTGAGATATTATAACTCTTTCTTTACTTTCCTATGATTGATGCATCACTTATTGGACACTAATGGCTGATTCGCTCAACAGTACACCCATGAGATTGATCAGACCTTTGATGGGGTACAAATCAACATAGCAAACATCACCATCCTCAGTCCAGAGGTAAAGTCCCAGCTAAACAACTTCAACAGCAGTGCCAGCAGTATGAACTTCAGCAACATTACACAGCAGGTACACTATATACTTCATTCTCATAAGCACACTAGCATATACTGTTTGTGAAATCAAATTATGTATAATTTAATAATGGGTACACATGAGCATTATTCATATGGCAAAAAATAAAATAAAAAATAAAATAAAATAAATAAATAAATAAATAGTGATTATAGCATTACACATATATGTGACCCAGGACCACAAAATAAAAAATAAGGGTCATTTTTTTGAAATTGAGATTTATACATCATCTGAAAACTGAACAAATAAGCTTTCCATTGATTTATGGTTTGTTATGATAGGACAATATTTGGCCGAGGTACAACTATTTGAAAATCTGGAATCTGAGGGTGCAAAAAAATCAAAATATTGAGAAAATCACCTTTAAAATTGTCCAGATGAAGTTCTTAGCAATGAATATTACTAATCAAAAATTAAGATTTACATTAAAAAATTTACAAAATATCTTTATGGAACATCAAAAAAAAAAAAAAAAAAATTTTGACCCATGTATTGTTGGCTATTGCTACAAATATACCTGTGCACAAGTTTTGTGTGTGTGTGTATATATATATATATATTTTCCCTGAACAATATATATATGCAAAATGTATTCTTTAAAATATATTATGGACAATATAATTGTCAATTGGCAAAATGGCGAAAATATGAGGAAGTACATATTGAGAATATATTTATATGAATATATTTCAAAATCTATATTAGCGATACATTTTTTGATTTCAGATTAACGACGTGTCAGGGATTAATCTGAGCTCAATAGCAGAAAGTCTGGATATCTTGGCTGGCAAACAGGTGAAAGTTACTTTTGTTTACTTGTCTTGTTAACACCCCCTGCTCTAGTCGGATCAAAGAGAATGGATCAAATACACTTATTTGTGTCTTTCAGAGTAACCAAGCTATAAAAGATGAACTGCATGGGGAAGCAAAAGATCTGCGAGACATCCAAACTGACATCACGTCTAACATTATGCCTTTGCTGGTGTGTTAACACAACACAAAAGACAGTACTCAGAATTTAAATTTCAACTGAACATGACATTATAATTAGGAATGAATGAATATTAATCACAAAGTGTTCTTGACTAGTTTGTTTCAGTTTGGTTTACTATGATCTACATCCTTTTCCTCTTTGCAGCTGGAACTGAACACCACTGTTAAGAATCTCAGTGTAGTAGCATCACAAATCACTGTAAGTAAACACTAGCCATCATAAGTGCATGAGAGTATCAATATGTATAATACTGTAGCCTAAACTACAGTATATCAGTTTTTAAAAGAATTGAATTATAGACCCCATGAATTATGATGATTTGCTACTTGCAGTAAATATTGTCTTTCAATGTACCGTTCAGCCAGGATGCATTAAACTGATCAAAAGTGACAGTAAAGACTTTTATATTGTTACCAGAATGTCTTGTTTCAAATAAATGCTGTTCTTTTGAGCTTTCTGTTCATCAAAGAATCTTGAAAAGGTTTCCATAAAATTATTGAGCACAAGTTTTAATAATAATAATAAAAATGTTACTTGAGCAGCAAATCAGCATATTAGAATGATTTCTGAAGGATCATGTGACACTGAAGTCTGGAGTAATGATGCTGAAAATTCAGCTTTGCCATCACCAGAATAAATTAAGTTTTAAAATACATAAAAATTATTATTATTATTATTATTATTTTACAATATTAACTTTTTTATTTCATTTTGTTCAATTACTTTTGAAAAAATAATAAAAAGAATCATCTTTAATCTTTATGGCCCTAATTAAAAATGCACTAACAGTATCTTCAAATTTTTTCTCTTTATTCATTTTATAGGCAGCTGTGAAAAATGTTTTCCAAAAAGTTGACTATGCTCAGGAAGTCCTGAACTTCAAAATATCACAAATAGTGAAAACTGTGAGTGTTGCACAATCAATGCTATATTTAGATAATTTATCTGTCAGGATGATTACTGTATTACAGTGATGAAAAAATCTACTGTGCATTTTCTAGTAACTGTATGCTTCTTTTCTGCAGGAGAGCAGGGCATTCATAGACTGTCAGCTGAAAATCTTTCAGACATTTCTTCACTGGGCAAATCAAACGGTATGTTTATGTCTTTATTTATATTCAAGGTGCCGACTATCTTAATGGTGAATTATTAATATTATGGTGTTGCACTCTGTATCAGATCACAGAGAGGGTGGGTCGGTGTGGGCCTGCAGCTGCAGCAGTAGACCGATCAGAGGAGCTCGTCTGTAAACACTTGGTAGAATCTTTGGTAAGAATCCATCATCATGCTCTAGCTGCTTCTTTTTCCTTATTACAGCGCTGAGAGATTTGTAAGTGCACATGGTTCCCATCTAATAAAACATAATATCCTGTCTGTTCTCCAGAATGCCTTTTGGTTGAGTTTGGGCTGGTGTATGATGTTCCTGATCCCCAGCATCATTTTCTCAGTTAAACTGGCCAAGTACTACCGCAGGATGAAGTATTCAGATGTTTATGAGTAAATTATCTTATTTGTTTTTTAAATGTAAAAGCGGATCATGGAAAAGTCTACTGTTTACCTACTGTCATGGATCAATTCAAATGGTTTCCTTATGATTTCTCTCTTTAAAGGAACAATAACTTCATGATGAATCCTTTCCCAAAGGCCCACCTCAAACCTGAATTATTGGAAAATGGCAAACAACCACCTTTTACGTAAGCACATAATTAAAAATGATTGTTAAGTTATACACACTGACCCACAGATCAATGAATTGACAAGTAGACAACGATTGTAGTAAAAATAATGCCAAAGTAGCTTCTGAGTACCCTTTTCTTTATTTTTAGTGCCATAGATTGTATCATAAATGAACTTTGTGTCAAATGATTTTAGCACTTAGTATTTAAATGAAAACCACAACTTTACTGTTACAACTGTAATATGTTTTTGTATTATAAGGAATTAATGGGAGTTTACGCTTTAGAATGCACTTTATGTGGTCCTGTAGGCATTGAAATTTATTTATGCCATTTTTTTCAATAAGAAATATGGGTATGCTGTTATATATATATATATATACATTTCTATTAGACCGTCCTAATAATGAAATTAGCTCATGAATAACTGTGGAGACTGTGATTGTATAAACCAACATGAAGTGGCCTATTTTTGAAGTGGTGTGGAATCTGAGGCCTGTTAAACATTTCTATCTTATGTCATGTATTAATTACAATCATAATAAAAGGTGCTGACACTACCATGCTGAACCTGTTTGTTTGGTGTAAAGAATTGCTTGCCACAGTCTGTCCAGATGACCCATCGAGAAACCCTCCCCCACAGTACCCCCTATATCCTGTGACTGAGGCCTCATGGTACAACTGCCATTACAAGTGTGCCAATCAGGATGAAGCACTAGAGCAGTGGAGCACACATTCCACACATATCTGTGCTGCTTAGAGAGAGAGAGAGAGAGAGAGAGAGAGAACAGAAATCGGACAAGATTCATTCACTATTTGACATTCTGACCAAAACATGAAATATCCAGAAAATATTGTAGTATAGCAGTTTTCAAAAATACTGAGATCATATAGCAGGAAAAATGTTCATTTTAGTGAATGTTCGATATTAGAGCTAACACTTAGCATTCAGATTAGTAAATACCAGAGATACTTAATAGACATGCGCAACAAGGGCATAACTGGAAAACCACGCAACTGGTCTTGAAATCATATAAATCTAGGACTTATGCACATTCATGTTATGTGTACACTACCATTCAAAAGTTTAGGGGTCAATAATTTTTTTAAGAAATTAAATTAAAATGAAATTGATCAAAAGTGATAGAAAAGAAAGACATTTAGAATGTTATAAAAGATATGCATTTAACTGTTCTTTTGAACTTTATATATATATATATATATCCTTTTTTAAAATTGATTTTCAGCTCCATCTATTTAATTGTCAGCACCATTGACAGAAAATATTTTGGTTTTGACAAAATAACTTTATTTGCATCACATATAGGCATTTTGTTTTTGTGGTGTTGCAGAAAAAAAAACTTGAAATTGCAAATTATCAAAAAAAAAAAGACGTAAATAAGATTTACATTTGTGTAGACCCATTCTTGCAATCATCTCTAATAATCAAACTGGAAATGTTTTTTTTTTTTTAATGAATGTTTTGTCCCACGTCTCAAGAATCCGCAATTACTCAAGCATGCCAGTGTGAGTGTTAAACAATTCACTTTTTCCTCGGCAGACAGAATGCGGCACAGATTTGTCTAACAGTAGCACACAAAGAGATATTTCAGACATTTTTACTAAATGTTTTTAAATGTACATTTTTAGTGCCTTTAGTTAATTACTTTAGATCATAAAATAAAATACATTCAAATACATAGTGCAGAATACCAATACTTAGTAAACACTTGCATCACAAAGAGAAAATAGAAGTGTTTCAGCTCTCCAAATACAATTAGCTATGACGAGTCAATTCAGGACAACACAAGCCTGTCCAATGTGATTGAGTTTGAAGCTGGTCACTGGATAATAGAATTTAGTTTAATTGAATTTAAAGCAGTGCTGTGAATGCTGCTGCTGAGCTCAGTAGGAGAATGCAGAGGGTGGGGCTGTACAGACCTAGTGAGTTTATAAAGCTTTGCATTGGAAACACATCAGAATTCCCCTCTCTGACCACAAAACCAGAAATCACCAATGAAGGCTGTGACACTTTAGCTCACAAAGAGACTTGAAAAGGAGTGGCAGCAATACATGAGTCATATTTAATTGCTTTTTACTGTTATAATCCCTGTGATAGCACTAAATACAAGAGCAATTCATGAAATATATAAGGCATTTAACATGAAATGACCAAATCTAAAATGTCCAATGATTACATTTTATATTACTGTACATTTTTATTAATGACAAATACAGTTCTTAGCTTACATCTTCCACGCGATTATCTTAAAATAATAATTACACCAGCATATGATGACAAACTGTAGTGTCAACAGAAAAAAAGATATTATTCTAAGAGTTTATACAATAAATGATCTAGAGCATGAAATGTGGATAATGCTTAGTCATCTCTGACCTTGCATTAGGATCAGGGTGACAGCATGCCTTTATGTGATGGCTATAAAAAAAAGACACAACTGAAAGTTAAGAAAGAGAAAATACTGTTTTAAGACACCAAAAACACATTAGGTGAAATGCAGCAAACTTGATAAACATAAAAACAACATTACATTCTATATTAGGAATAATTAAGCACTAGTTAAACATCTGTGCATTGCGAGTTATTACTTTACAATTTCAATAGTTAATGAAATATGGTTCGATCCGAAGCTCCGTAATTTTGTTCAGACCATGTTATGTAAATAGTACTTCTTAAAGGGACAGCTGACCCAAAAATAAAATTGTGTCATTTATTCACCCTCATGTTGTTCAAACCTGTATAACTACTTGTTTTGTAGAACACAATATACAGGCAATACAGTGAAAGTCAATGGGGTCCAAAGATTGTTTTGGATGAAATTGTCTTTTAATGTAAGGATAAAACTGTTAAATTGTTTATCAGAATCTATTCTTAAGTGCTCCAAAGAAGAAAGTCATACAGGTTTGAAATGACATAAACATGAGCAGATGATGACAGAATTTAATTTTGAGTTAACCTGTACCTCTAAGACCCTTTTAATAACAGTCTATTGAAAGGGTCAGACATGATTTGAGAGTGGGAAAGTCAGACCAGCTTGGTTTGAGATGTCACTTGAGATCCAGAGGAAGTCCTCTGCTTGGTTTCCTGCTGCTCAGCATCTCTGAACAGTCCCTTTGGTTGACGTGGAGGAGTGTTTTAATAACAGGCTATGTAAAGGGTCAGACATGATTTGCGAGTGGGAAAGTCAGACCAGTCTGGCTTGACATGTCGCTTGAGATCCAGAGGAAGTCCTCTGCTTGGTTTCCTTCTGCTCAGCATCTCTGAAAAGTCCCTTTGGCTGGCGTGGAGGAGTGAGCGGAGGAACTGTGGGTGACTGAAGGATATCTGCGTACCTTTGGCTCGGTTTGGTCTCCCTTTGGAGAACTTTTCTGAGCAGCGGTTTCAAAAGCCCGATGGTGACCTGGCTGCCATGAGCCTCGAAAGGACCAGAGTTCTGCATTGAATCAGGCAGGTTTTTCAATACAATATTAAGTATGCTCGTCACAGTCATGTCCTCTGGACAAAGAGTCCATAGCAGGTCCAAATAGGGGTCCAAGTCTCTATGTTGGGACACTTCGCACAGCAGAGCAATGAAAATCTCTTTGTTCAGAAGCGGGCTCTGCCGGCAGAACCTCTCAGCTACTTGCGCAACCCGTTCCCACTGGCCTTGCTTGATGAGAATCCGCAACGCTTGCATTATCGCTTTAGGCCGCTCGCTGCACAAAAGCAGCTCCACTTCCAGGTGTTGGTAGGTCCCTTTGCAAGGGAGCACAGTCAAGGCCCGTTTATAGAGCGGCAAGCTCTCAGAGCTCTCCTTCATGCTGTAACCCCACGGAGACTTGGAGGACCCGCCTGATTGTTGTTGTGCCAGTTCGAGAAATCTGGGGAGCCAGCTGGGCTGGAATTTGAAGATAGATTGGCACAAGAGCTCAAAAACAGGCACCGTAGTGAGTTTCTGCTGACCATTGCAGTGAGCAAAGTTTGCTGTGGGTTGCACAGGGCTGAGGATGATTTTCCATAACTCAGCAGGAGCTTTAGACAACAACAAACCCTCACCGTTGCACCTCAGATGCAGAACCGCTTGCATGGCATGCCAGGAGTAAGTGGGAAAGAGATGGAAGATGCTGTTTAGATATTGAAGATTCTCCCTCTCTAGCTCACCGCTAAGCAGCCGGCAGATCTCCTGCTGCACCAAGCTTTCACAATAGTTCTCTAGATCTTTCTCCGAAGCCTTCACCACTGATGTTTTGATGTCCTCCAACAAAACGAGACTCCTAAGCTCTGATTCGAGTGAGCTCATGAGCCTTTCTTGACCTGTGGAATGTTTCTCACCAGTTTTGATCTTCTGGTTGCGGAGGTAATCCCTGAGGATGGCGGCCAGCGATATGGGCGCTTGAAACATCCCACCTTTTTTGAGCTTCTCCACCGTGAGCTGTGTGCTACTTAGACTTCTTTGCTGATAGTATTTGCATGCCTCCTCAAAGACAGCCTCAACTAAGAGTGCACTCGAGTCTTCTGAAAGTGTTGGAGAAGGCTTCGGTTTTTGCGTGACCACAAACAGCCCGGTTTCTGACAGCATTAGTGGAGAGTGACTGTCCAAAGTGTTTATGAAGAGAAGACCTTCTGTTTTCATACTTATTCTTTCTAATTCCAGACCACATTTGGTGTCGATTAAGAAGAGGGTCCTGCCTATTGTTAGTGCCAGGATTTCGTTATATATTTTCAGGCTATTTTGGGTCCCACTAGCACTTAGGCAATTATCAGGAAGTTTGTATATGTGGTGAAGACTGCCATCCCTCTTCATAATGCATACCCAACCAGTGCTAAGAAGGAGAAGGAGGTCTCCACATCCAGTGGGAGAGAATCCACAGATATCAGGAGGATTTATGGTGGCTAGAAGGCCAATGCAGTCTGTAACAAGTCTCTTGAAGTCAGATTCCTTGCTTGAGCTTTTCATAAGTGTGCAACTACAGGCACTATGCACTTTAAAGGTATCGTGTTCAGGAGACCATGCAAGAAACACTTTCAAAACACCCATGGAAGAGTTTTCCCTCATGTCTGGGAGCAGATAGACCAAATCCCCAGAACTGACGGTTGCGTATCGAGGATTATTGTGCAATGCAATTTTCACGTTTCCTAAATTGACACCTCCCTCATTAACTTCTATAGTCTTTTTGCAGATGCAGAACCTGAAGTTGCTGCATACACTATTGGAGTTCTCAGATGGTGGTCGCTCCTCACACCATATAATGAAATTCTGACACATGCACACAGAACTGACTTTAGCACGAGGGCTGTTACACAGATCCACAGTCTGGAGTAAATGCCAGCCTGATCTGCACTCTAGGAATTTCCAGAATTCCACTCTTCCATTCTCAAATATTACTCCAAGCACAGAGGCTCCGTCTTCTGGTTTGCTTTGAGGGATATAAATGACATCCACTACAGGCGCATTTCCAGATAGCACTAAATCATTGTGCTTCTGGCATTGCATGAGATGAAGTCGCTGATATTTGTCATGTGTCATAAGACCACTCTTGGGCTGACGCACAATGACATGAATGTGACGTCCATCTGGACTCAGACGCACATCGGACAGGCAGTTTTGAGATGAGATGTTGGAGTATGCCTGCTTGAAAAACTCTTTTAGATCCTTTCCTTTCGTGAAATCACCGAAATCAGTCACTTGTTCTAATGCGAGTCGCGTCATGTTTGCTGAAAAGTCGATCTGGAATAGGAAGCACACGATGCGCGTGAAAACACTTTCAGTTTGGACCAGCGATCATCCACAATCTCCCTGAAACATGTCCAGTGCTCGTTTCACGCGTTAACTCCATCATATGACGATGTCATATCTCTACAGTCCATAAATCCTAGGAAATACACGTAATTTTCTCCTGTGCTGTCTGTTTCTCTCCCACTCCTCCTGACATCACGAGTTTGTTGTTAATTTCCGGATTCTAATGGCTGTGTTTCAATACCCACTGAGGCGCGCACTCACAGAGCATTATTGTGCAACAACGCTCGCCACTGTGACTGCCAGAAATCCTGTCTAGGTAGGCAGCTTACTGAGTTTTGAAATACACCCTATGCGGTGTTTTTAGTTTTCTTTTGCTCTGTTGGAAGGAGGGGTTTAATTCATTACTCTGTTCTCTAACCAGACACAACTTCTAACGTTACCTAAATACAATTTACCTAAATTTACAGCTAAATACACAACAATTACCTAAATATATTTATAATTATTTAAAAAATACAAACTCGCAACTGAGTTTTTATTCTGGAAAAACCTAAAATCTATAATCTGAACCGCTCAGTCATGACGTCAATTTGTAGGCTAACAAGGGAGGCTAATTCGCCATAGATTCATTTAGAAATTTCCTTTGTGTTTTTAGAATGGTTTTCGATGTATTGGTAAATTATGATCCTTGGTTAACAACACTTTCAGGTTTGTTTAACAATTTAGATTACATACTGTGTGTGTTTTTAAGGTAAATTGCTGACAAGTTGCTTAATAAGGACTACAACTACCACAAGGATGTGAGATTACGTGAGTGACAAATCGGACAAAAGTTGTAGTTCGTAAATAGCAATTGTTAATGCTTAAACAATATTGTACACATAGTATAAAATATAAACCAGGGAAAGAACTAATAAATACAATAATATAAAATACAATTATGATACTACAGTCACAATTTTGTCATGGAATGCGTCGGAAATGACGTGAGGCCAGTAAACACACTTCCTTCTACTTCCGCGAAGATTTCGCCGTTGATGCAAATGACAGATATGAACCCTGCAGTTTTTGAAGTTTGTAAGTTTTCATAATACATTCTAATTAGCTAGTTTTTGTACATCAGTGTTTATTAATTATTCTCTGTTTTTATTTTCCGATGTCTCATCGCATTTGTAGGTCAGCTGCAGTGGATCGCAAATATGATCACTGTCATGAAATATTTATGTGTAAATACAATGTCTTAACAGTTATATTTTCATGGATTGCTTGCACACAGGATGGAATTGTTTTGAAAATAAACTTTATTTAAAAAAAAGTATCACTAAAATCTGTTTGTGTACCAGTAAAATACTGTTTTTACTAACCATGTGATTAGCAGGAAACTGTGCTATGCGATGCTTTAATAAATTATGCTGCATTCTATGCTTTATTATATTATGTTATGTTATGTTATATGTTATCTTTAAAAACTTGGGTGAAACCTACATAACTTTTTAAAACACTTCCCAGTGTGCAACTGTCATTGCAATGTTTGTTACAACATAATCTGATTTTATAGATCTAGGTATTTAAGTTTCTGTAATACTGTTATGTAATGTTATTCGGACATATGTGTCTCTCTGAATAGAAAATCAAGCAGAAACATTGAAGATGTCTGATTCGAGGAGAAGGTCTAGAGGGAATCAAGAAGAGTCAGCAGGAACATCCAATGGATTGGGTGGACAGAACAGGCCAGAGAGACCTGGTGATATGGGTGATGAAGATGACATTGGTGCAGGACCCTCAGGTATTAGTGAGGAAGATAATGATCCAACACGCAGGAGAGAGATCAGGAGCAAGTACAGGGATCTGATCAATCAAGTCCAGCGTGAGTATTAATAATGTTAAAGTTGGCTTCAATGATACCGTTTGCTGTTTCAGTTATAAAGTATTGTAAGTATATTGTTGTGTGTATGCTTTTTTGTTTAAAGAAAATCGTGAGGACATGCTGAACCCTGCAAACAATAAACTCACTGATGTTTTAGAAGAGGCCAACAAACTATTTGCCAATGGTATTATTTTTCTACACTACATATTCTGGTACCTACCTACAGAACTAATGCAATTCAGTCAATTAGTAGGATGCATGGCCTGGCAGAGCTTTGCGCACACACATTTCATTTTCTATGTATTATGTCTTCATGGTCATCTCCTGCTGGTTTGTTATGGCCTGTGTCTACTTTCAGTGAGGCAGGCTCGTGAAGCAGCACTGGATGCTCAACTCCTGGTACTAGCCACTGATCTGGGGAAGGAAAAGGCCAGCCAGCTACATGCTGAAGGCTCTGCGTTTGACCCGTCTGCATTTGCAGAACATTTGGTATGTTACTGTGAAAAGATAGGCCAGAACTGCATTTCCTAAAAGCATCGAGGTATCATTTGTTCCTCTGATATTTTCCTCTTTGTTTAATCTGCCATCTCTCTCTATCTATAGTCGATCTGCTAATATCCATCCTGTGCACTCAAATTGAGCGCTCTCTTCTCTCTTTCATTACTAGACACGCCCCTTACTGATGATTGGCTACAAGTATGTTTTGGGACTCGGTCCGACACTGTGGTCAAAAGTGTTTTTCAAATATTGCTTAGTGTACCTTTAAGTAGATCATAGAACCATTGCCACCAGTGGTCTCTTCGATCAACTTAGCTCAGAATGCTTTTGACAAACGCAGCCCAGATCTTGTATTTAGGAGAAAATGATGTTCAGATTCACTGTGAAATGATTTTTCTCCTTGATTGATTTCTCATATTGATCATTCTAGTTGTCCTTCATGGGTCTGAATCGTTTGGAGGATGAAAGCGGTCAGGATGGAAACTTGGAGGGATATTTACCACAAGGCGCCTGGCAAAGGCTGGCAAAGAGATCTGAGTACTGCTTCAAAACAGCCCCCTCATTCCACTACATGTGAGTATGTCTGTAGTAAGGGACGTAAAATGAAACTGAAGGCGATTAGGTAATTAGGTAAGTGTTTAAGACAAGGGGATATATTGGAAATTCACATTCAACTTGAAATTATTTTGCAGGTAATTGCAAAACTTTTTGTGATTTTTTGCTATTATTTTTGCGATTAAGTTTATTAGGCTAGTTTTGTGATTCCCTTCTCGCCCCATGAACTGATTTATTTAACTGATGTCTTTGTGGCCCACTTCTGTAGTAAAGGATCTTGAATCAGTTAAAACTGTTGATGTAAGTGAATCTCAAAGTTAGTAGTTCAAATAGTTCAAAGCTAAATTTGTGTTATCCCTCAGAAATGTTCATGATTTTTTCTCAGCAAGGACACATTAAATTGATAAAAGTAAAGACTTTTATAATGTTTCAAATAGTTTCTTTCAAATAAATGCTGTTCTTTTGAACTTTCTATTTATTGAAGAATCCTGAAAAAATGTATCACAGTTTCCACAAAAATATTAAGCAGCACAACTTTTTCCACATTTATAATAATGAAAGTTTCCTGAGCACGAAATCAGCATATTAGTATGGTTTTTAATGAAGGGTAGTGTCATGTGTGACACTAAAGACTGGAGAAATGGCTGTTGAAAATTCAGCATTGCCGTCACAGGAATACATTTCAAAAATAATAAAATACAAAGCCGTTATTTTAAATTGTAATAATAACTCACAGTGTTACTGTTTCAAATGAATGCAGTCTTGATGAGCATAAGAAACTTTTCAGGAAAAAACAAAACAAAACTTGAGTACTCCAAAATTTTGAACTGTAGTGTAAGCTTGAGTAATGAGTAAATATAATTTTTCATGATATTTATTAAATAAACTTACTTTTACTTAACGCTAAACCTCCGAATCAGTTTGATTACAATTGCTATTAAGCCGTTTTATAGCTTACAAAACAAAACTTATTCTGACAGCCTCATTAAGGAGAGTTTACGAATACATTGTGCAGTTTACTTTTACAACCTTTGCTATTTTTGTTTAATTCAAGGTTGGGCTCATTTTTGGCAGAGCCTCCTCCACCACGGCAGAGAGTTGAAAGGCAAAGGAAAGCACCCAGCAAAGAGGCAAAACGAATTATGCCCACCCAGGTGTGCTCATTATAATGCAAATGCTGACAGTCTCTGCAAATACTCTTGATAATCTGTCTGATTTTCAAAATAATGATCTTTAAAAAAGCATCATATGACCCCTTTAAGAAAATATCTTGTCATCACAGCTGAAGAAAATGGAAGAATCTCACCAGGAGGCAACAGAGAAAGAGGTTGAAAGAATTCTTGGATGTCTGCAAAGTTACTTTGCTGATGACTGTAAGCATGTTAAAATAAAAATAAAATAACATATCGCAGTTAAGCAAAACAGACTATTTTAAAACCCATTAAAAATGACTTTTTCTGGAACAGCTGAGGAACCCATTTCATATTACGAGTTCGTCATTGACCCCAACTCCTTCTCCCGGACTGTGGAGAACATCTTCCACACGTCTTTTCTTATAAGGGTAAGTTAAGAGGCAACAACAGCTTTGGAAATTAAACATAAGTCTCACAATAATGAATGAAATATTTCCCTCAGGATGGTCTGGTGAGAATGTACTTGGATACGGATGGGCTTCCTTGTATAGGTAAGATCGAATCCACAGGTCACTGTTTGATTGTGTTTGTTTGAATGTACTTCGAGATTATATGTATTATGGGTGTATTATAGCTCCAGTAGAGGAAGGTGAGATAGGGCCTGGTGGAGCTGCTGTCCGACATCAATGTGTCATCTCCATCAACCAGGAAAGCTGGAAGGTGAGCACATTAAGACTGTAGATGTTTGGGGTTGGAAAGAAGTGTTTTCTGGATTCTAATTGAGGTGATAATATAGAAATTGTTTTCTTCTCAGGATTACCCGAGGCTTGTATCTTTAACAACTATTTGAGACAAATTTTTTTTACAACTTTGCCATGTTTAGATCATATTTATTTAGCATGGAACAGTCTGTTCTTTACATTAAATAACTTGTATCTATGATCTGTGTCTTGCAGGAAATCATCGATGCCTTTGATATTAAGGAAGCTTTGATCCCCGCTCCGGAAATTTTGTCTCAGTAAATCTAAGTTGGAGGATAGTTAGCGACAACTGCCAAAATGCTTATAAAATAAAAACGGTTTTCTTCTTTTTATATATTTTTTAATATTTGGGATCTCAATTTTAAGAGTGATGTCTTTGAATTCTGTATAAAGTGTAATAAAATTGTGTCTAATACAATAAATGTAAAGTGCACTTAACATTATATTAAGTGTTGGATTTCAAGTAACTAAAGAAATATTTTAATTTGATGGACACATGCAAGGTTCATAACCCTTCACTGTCTGTAGATGTACATCGCTGTTCTCTTTCTCTTAATTAGAAATATTCAGAGTAGCATAGGGCTGCACGATAAATCGAAATGGAATCGAGATCGCGATTCGACAGAAGCTGCGATTGTAATGCGTATCTTTCAGTGAAGCACGGTGCGTTTCTTCATTTGCATGTGTTGTGAGGATTTGCAGCGCGTTTCTTCATTTGCATGTGTTGTGAGGATTTGCAGCGCGTTTCTTCATTTGCATGTGTTGTGAGGATTTGCAGCGCGTTTCTTCATTTGCATGTGTTGTGAGGATTTGCAGCACGTTTCTTAATTTGCATGTGTTGTGAGGATTTGCAGCGCATTTCTTTATTTGCATGTGCTGTGAGGATTTGCAGCGCGTTTCTTTATTTGCATGTGTTGTGAGGATTTGCAGCACGTTTCTTAATTTGCATGTGTTGTGAGGATTTGCAGCGCATTTCTTTATTTGCATGTGCTGTGAGGATTTGCAGCGCGTTTCTTTATTTGCATGTGTTGTGAGGATTTGCAGCGCATGTGTTGTCAAACTGATGAAGATGTTTTCTTAATTTGCATGTGTTTTCTTTTAATTTCTTAATAGTAATTGGAGATTAAACATAAGTCTCACAATAACGAATAAAATACAACCCTCAGGTATATGTTTTCCTGTCAGTAATTACAGTAAGCTGAACACTACCACCTAGTGGTGAAATAGCCTTTTTTTTTTACTGGACAAAGCTGAATGTGATTTAAAACTACTCTTTAAAAATTCTTAATGAATACATAATCTTGACTGCTGCCTCTAGTCAAGTTTATTTGCATGACCGCATGGCAATATTTTCTTGAGCTTTGTTGTCTGTTAAATGTTCATATGAACTCGTGTAAAATACTTATGCTGGGAGGCGATAGAGAGCTGTCCATGTGTGCAGTGGTGCGGCCTTCCACATGCACACAGATTGGTCCAAGCTTGGATTAACTGCCCTGTAGTTTGATCCCACTGACATCTGAAGCCTTTTGGAGGGATCTGCCTGCTGTCTGAGTAACACTCATGTTCACAAGACGCTTCTCTACGCTGCAGGGACTTTTTGGATGGTGTAGTGGTGTAAATCTACATCCAGGTCAGTGGCTGAAGTTGAGATTTCAGTGTAGTATTGGGCAGCTGTTGTTTTTGTTTATTTCTTACAGCAGTTGTTTTTGTTTAACATATTTTCATATATTATTTTTTTCGATCTGAAGTTAAAAAATTTTTTATAGGCTTTTGTGCTTGTCGGTGTGCTTTGTTTAATCAGGGTATGTGCTGTTCTATGTCTCACTGCATAAACGTTTGGGTCACTGTGGTGGAAAGTTCTTGTGGCTGAAATCCTGTTTCACTTTTAAGAAAATGGCAGCATAAACAAAATTATCTGATTTATTTTGTAGCTTTTAATTCCCATTTACCAAATTTATTGTCAGATTTCCTCAGGTGTTCTTACTTTTATGAGGTATTGTTAAGTTTGTCTTTATTAAACACTTTATCCTTAAATTTTTTTTTTTTAGAGAACTGCAGTATCATTCCTGGTGTCCATTGTTAGTTAATACAATTAATAAGATACTCATCAAAACAAATTCATGTCTAATCTATAAATGTTCATTTGAGAAGGAAAAATGGAAGAATTTTGCTTTCTATTTCAGAGGTAGGTGAAGGTTGTTGAAAGCTCATTTTCCATAGGGATGGAATTCAGGCCAGTACTGATAATTATTTTCATGTTATGAGTGATATTAAAACTCAATATTATTTAGTCTTAAATACTAATTATGGGCTAAAACAAAAATCAATAAATTGTGTCAATGTCTATTCAGTGTTGTCATGCTTCATTTCGGCATTGGCATTGTCATTTACAGTATGAAATGTGCATAACTATTCATTTTTAGATGAATATTTGATGAGAAATTTGAATGTTTTTCACGAGAAAGACTCAATAAATATATTCCCTATAGCAGGGGTGTCAATCAAACTCAGTTCCTGGAGGGCCGCAGCCCTGCAGAGTTTTGTTCCAACCCTGCTCCAACACAAGTACCATGTCGTTTTTAAATAAGCCTGAAGGACTTAATTATCTGGATCAGGTGTGTTTAATTAGGGTTGGAGCTAAACTGTGCAGGGCTCCGGCCCTCCAGGAACCGAGTTTGACACCCCTGCCCTATAGGCTCATTATTATAGGAAATGACTCTTTTTATTTTAAAGAAATTAGTTCATCCAAAAATGAAAATTTGGCGAGCAAGTGATGTAATGCTTCACCAAAGTTTCACTAAATTTGTTCTGATGAAGATACAAAATCATCTACGTCTTGGATGGAACGAGGGTGAATATATTCTCAGCAAATTTTCATTTTTGAGTGAACTATATCTTTAAGAAACCTAAAGGGTTAAATCTTTGTCATTATGTAGTGCTGTCACTTTAAGTTAGCACTAGATGATGGCAACATTTCATTTAAAATAAAAAAAATGGCAGAAATGAATGTCTACAATTAAATATACAGTATTGACCAATATATCCATATCTCATATTGATTGGTAATGATGAAAAAGAGTGAACATGAAACTGAAGTCAAGACTAACTTTACTACAGTATTGTGACATAGTTTAATGGCATATTGAACAATAAACAAATGTGGGTCTGGCTCGATCTTATCCACTGGTTGTTGATTGGATTGTGTTGAATGGAGGCAGATCTGAATATGATTGGCTCAATAAGAAAATGTTATGACATTTTTATAGTATACATTTTTTATGGACTTATTATGATAGATAGATGCTGACTTTAATGCCAGTTAAAGAATGAATATTTTAAATTCAGTCCATCAATCTTCATAAAGCTTAATCTATCTCATCCTGACTCTCCTTTTGTAAACTCCTTTTATTTTCTGCCACTGTCCCATTTCACTTGAGTGGCTCCATCACTTTTCCTCTGGCGATTTTCTTTTGATGTTCAGTACCGTGTCGTCATGCCTGCAGCTGTTGCTCTTTTAAACTTGCAGATGCTCTGTTCTTTTATTTTCTCGTTTTCATCCGGCTTCTGTATTTTCCGTCCTCCCCCCGCCTCTCCCTGCTTGTGTGATGGTCGCTATCGATAACAGAGGTGCTTTTTACCCACTTGCAGAGCAGCATCTTATAGCATCGCTGCAAAAGCCAACGAAGGAAGAGAGGAAAAAATGTCAAGACACTTTTTTTGAATCCTTGGCTGTGCTATTTATATAATTGTGTTGTTATATAACAGAGAGTGAGCATGTATGTCATAGTTATACCCTGGGCATTGCAGTAGATGAGGCTTATTCACACACACTCTCACACACACACATATGAGGGTATCCTCGCACGCTTGCACTCACTTGCTCACACCCTGCTTGCATTGCTCAGCGATGCCATTTCTTTGTAGTGGGGATGCAATCCTGGAGAGATTATTTTTGCAAGCCTTGTAGTGCTTCAGTCACCTCTCCTCAGGAGGACATGGAATACAGGATGGGAAGCTGCATCGGAGTCGCACGCAGCCAGGTAACACTGCATCTCAGACACTGCAGACAGAAAGGCAAAATGAGAATGAGTGGGAAGACATTGCCGGCTGTTCGCTGGTTGCCAGTGCAGGCAGAAGAAGGGGATGGGGGGGGAGTATTTGTGTTGGACTGGGCTGACGTCAGGGGGATATGAAGTAAAAAGGATGTTTTTATGGCTGTCTCTTCTCATACTGGCCTGTAGTGGTCGGAGCTTGGGAGATGAAGAGCGTGAAAGGAGACGGGAATGGAAGGGGGAAAAAGAGGGGGAGGTGCAAAAAGATGCCTGACAATATCTGTACAGTGAAAGGGAAAAGGATGCAGGGAAAGGAATGACAGACATGGATAAATGAAAGGCAGTAGACACTGGCAACAAGCAAATGAAGTCTAGATTGTGCTGAGAATAGACATAGCTTGAGAGAATTAAATAAGGAAGTCAAAAAATGAATTTATTCCCTTGACAACAACTAATATTTGTGCATTCAGTATCTGCTATTAAGTGAATGCATAATTATCCATAACTGAATAGGAAATCAGCCTTGATTGTTCATAGACTATAAGAGCTTATTTATTAATCGTATTATTCTGCATTCCTTGTTTATGCAGTTGAAGTGATTTTGCGATACAGTCATTTTATACTTGTTTTAATGGGCATTAAGGATGGGAATATTTGGTTAATCACTTTATAATAGGTATATAATATTTTAATACTGTATAATGGTATCAGGGAGGAGAAGGGGTGTGTTGCATGATTGTCAGCTTTTAAAAAGTATTTATTTCAGAGATCAATAAATACTTTGCTTGATGCATTTAAAAGGTCAGGTTTCTGTATTGTTATGTAGCGAAAGGTGAGTAATTATTTTGTGAGTAAGTGAAATCGTATAGGGTGTGTGTGTGTGTAAGAGTGTAAACAGGTGAGGTGAACAGGTAGCAGACAATGGATAATACATAAATAATGCATATATGTATTATGCGCTGTAAGGTTTTCCAATAGGAAACCTGAATTGAAGTTGAAATTGGAATGGACGATTTTTTAGCAAGTTTAGCAAGAACGGTTGCAGTAGCCATTGAATGAAAGGTCTTGCAGGATGCCTGACAGAGCTGAAAACACTGGTTTGGTAAGTCATATTCTTGTGCCCTATAAACCTTTTTTCAAGTTATATTGTAAAAATGTGCTTCACTAAATAGTTGTATTTGTTAGAAAAGCTATTTAATATAACTGGATCAACCTGACTGCTTTTGGTGACACTAATGTGAGTAAATTGGGTAGAAAAATATGTTTTCACATTTTTAGTGCACTTTACTACACTCTAGAAGTGAGCCTTTCTTTCTTTCTTTCTTTCTTTCTCTTGTAAAGTTCCACTAAGTATTATTTTATGTTGCATTTTATTCCCCAAAGTAATTCTGTAAGGGTTGCATAGATTTTAATGGGTACTCTATTGATTGCCTTTTTTATTTGGGCATCCAGCGATGTGAATACCTACTAGTGATCAACAATACAGTGACTTGGTGACCTCCAGTAAAATTGCTGTCAATGTAAATAGAGCATTATATTGACACCAAGTTTTCAGTGATGAATACCATTGTAGAAATGCTATATTTACTCATTATTCACTCCATGAGGCGACATGCTCTATGTAAAAAAATTAAACGTCTTTTATTAGGCCATTGATATAACTGAGGTCTTCCAGTCTTTTAATGTGAAACTATTTTGGAGTATACAGCTCACAGACAAGTGCTGTGTAATTGTTTTGGGGCCCTGTTGACAGGCTAAGGAGGTTATGGGAAGGTTAAAATCCTTTCTGCTTAATTTATGGCATTGTGTTTGTTTGCAAGTGTTACCAAGGGCCATGCACCGCCCAGCTGACTCTGTCATCTCTGCCATGTCAGAATCAGTGCGGCCCCCCATGATCTCCCTGTCAGCTTACCCCCTCTCGCCTGCTCGAACTCTGTGCAGATAGAGCAACCCAAATGTGCCAGTCATCTCAAGAGGGGACAAGCTTGTTAACTGCGGTGTAGCTGCAATTAACTAAATCTAAAGCTCTACATTAAGTGTGGCATTGTGAGCTTGGATAAATGCACTGCTTCTGCCTCTGTGAGCTGGGTGAGTGAGTTTGACTTCACTTTGTTGTTACTGCTTTTGAAGTTAACACAATGACCATAAGGAGTTCAAATTAGATGAGTTATTGCACTCTCATGGTTTACATTACTAATGTAGTATTAGTAAACCTTTTGATTTTCTCTTTAGATTTCCATTTGGTTCACTTTAGGTGTTAGTGTGGGTTTACAAGAGTCTTCTTTTACCAGAAGTTCATGGCGTTGCAGGAAAAAATAAAATTTAATTTGTTTTATAGTTATATTATGCAGCATTGTAGCACATCAAATTCTGTGCTGTGTGAAAAAAATCAAATTTTCTCTCTCTCAATGATAAGCTGGTAGTCCAGGAATAGAGAAGACATGTTCCTGTTCCGCTTCAGGAGTGTTCCTATGTCAGCAGGCATTCATGTAGTCATGTTTGCAAGTGATTTAGCCACACTAAAGGAAGGTACTAATGTTTAATTATTAGTGGAAGATATGGGTCTGCAGTATTTAGATCTAAAAGTCTAGATGTGTTTTGGCTCTTATGTTGGATGACAAACAAAACACAAACATAAGAAGGGCTGGAATTACACTCAATTCACTCAGTGTTTAAAGCAGTGCCATCATTTGTCTTCTCTCTTGCTTATCTTATTGATTAGCTGTTTCTGAAAGTCTGTCTCAGTCTGGGTCCATGAGAAGTTGGGATCATCTAAACTTGACTCTTCAGACATTTTTTGCATGGAAGTCATTGTATAAGCCTACAGTATTTATTACATGGCACAGTTTGTTTTGAAGGGAAACTGTTGCACATGACTCATGGCTGGACGGGAAGACTTAAATAACGAGTGACAGACAGGAACAGCATCTATTTATAACAAGTTTCGTATTCAGGTTTGCACTTCCTGCCAAAATATAGAGCAGCCACTGATCACCCAGCAGAGTCACATGGACACACAAACACTTCAGAAGCACAGCAGTCTGATATAGCCTAGCAAGGTGATCTGTATAATTGTTTGACACAATGGTTTTGTGTTTTGGAGATGCTATATTGATTATAAAGGTCATGTTTAGTCTTTCTCCACATGGTTTATTGGAGATAATTCTGTGAACCATGTATTAGTCCTTCATTTGTTTCTTATGGAAGCCTGTAATTATGGGATTACATTTTTATATCTCCAACTTTTGACTTTGTTTCTCAAAATTGTGTTTTTATAAGTTACAATATGACTTTACTGCCACTTTGTTTTGTAATTGCGACTTATCTCTGACAGTGTGACTTCATATCTCACAGTGTGGTTTTTATTTCTTATTTTAAACTAAAATATCTCATAATAACCTTTTTTTATATTATACTCTGCAGAGACCATACGTTCTTGAATTGAAGAGAAGCTGCATAAATGTATTTTAATTTTTAATTTTCCCATTATGCTCAATTTAGCTTGTGTGATACACAAAACTATATAATATTTCATATAACTTTTTTTTTTAAAGCTAAATACCCATTCAATCAACTTCCTTCCAAACACATCCCACTCTATGAATGTATTGGTGATACACCATACAAAATTTGATGTAACCAAAAATGAGGCTGTGAGGGATAAAATTACTGTCCATTTAGTGGGTTATGCTGTTTTAAGTCTTAGGCCATGTCTAATTTTCACAACACATTTTCCAGAGTATTGGCTCACAGCAGGGGGAGACAGAGGGCAGCTGCTGTTGACTAGTTGATTTTGGCAGTAATCTCCAAACCCTCAGTCACTAGCACAATCTGTCAAATGATGAGTTTACTGCACCAGATTAACCCACTTACACCGCTAATTGTCAAAAACAGACTCCTACTAAATGATACTGTAAAACTGTGCCACTGTGCCATACAATATATCTCTTGTGCCCACTGGAAAAAACTAAAAACCAACTATCTAGTAGTATTAGTATACATCTAGGACTAGTATTTCTGCTGTCTGAATTTCAGCTGACGCCCTCAATGAATCCTCACAGCACTAGGTAGATAGATGGTGTTTCACCGAAGGGTTAGATAGATAGATGGGATCCCGTTTACTGAGTTTCCCCACATTAGAGCGTGCTGTAGTTGTGGTTGTTTGAGTGGGCGGCAGCATGACTGATGGGCCCTGGAGCTTTCTGCATTGTGCTGGCCGCAGGTCAACAGTGTGTGTGCGAAATGCTCCAGGAAGCTGATTTATGTTTCTAATGAGCTTGTGGTGTTCTTAAGAGGTTCTGGCCAGAGGTCTGTTAGACCTATCTAGAAGAGTTTTTTTTATGGGCTAATAAGACATACTCCTCCACTCTCACTAATCTTCACACAGTGAGCGACTCAAGCCAAATGTGCAATGGGCCTGAAAACATTGCTCTCTTAATGTGGCACGGTAAAAAAAGTGGACAGTTTGAAATGATTCATGGATGTTAATCGAACTTACAATTTTTTGATAATGGAACTTTAAATCAAGCATGCTATTAAAATGTCGTTCTCATGCTTGCAAGTCACCAGACAAGTAACGATCAAGTAATGACACATTCTTAATGACTGGACTTAATGGTCAAAGAAAAACGTGCATTAAAATTATTATATATGTATATATCATTTATATATGTTTTCATAAGAGGTCTCTTATGCTCAAAAAGGCTGCATTTATTCAGAATTACAGTATAGCACTAATATTGTGAATTTAAAATAACTGTTTTCTGTTTTTATATACAGTGCCGCTTGAAAGTTTGTGAACCCTTTAGAATTTTCTGTATTTCTGAATAAATATGACTCAACACATAATCAGATTTTTTACACAAGTCCTGAAAATAGATAAAGACACCCAATAAAACAAATGAGACAAAAACATTTTTTTTTTCTGGAAGTGAATCATGGCAAGATCTCTGAGGACCTCAGAAAAAGAGTTGGTGTTGCTCATCAGGCTAGAAAAGATTTCAACGCCATCTATAAAGAGTTTGGTCTCCACCAAATCAAAGTCAGACAGATTGTGTACAAATGGAGGAAATTCAAGACCACTGTTACCCTCCCCAGGAGTGGTCCACCAACAAAGATAACTCCAAAAGCAAGACGTGTAATAGTCCACAAGGTCGCAAAGGAACCCAGGGTAACTTCTAAGCAACTAAAGGCCTTTCTCACATTAGCTGATGTTAATGTTCATGAGTCCACCATCAGGAGAACACTGAACACCCATGGTTTATATGGT